AAAAAAAAAAAAAAAATCTCTTTTCTATGGTCTGATCATCTTACAACACATTTTAGTATAGTTATAACTTAATGTTATTAGCCATCACTTGACGATATCCCGTGCGTTTATACCTTTGTATTACTGATATTAAATATAATTCGACTTTGATTTCGTAAGCTCTTTAATTGCACAACGCGAATTTCTAAAGTAATAATAAGAGCGAATCAGCCATCGGATATTGTATGCGTGAAACTTCTCTGAGATTTAAATTCAATGTGAGTAACATTTAACGATTATCTTCTGAAGATCTGCCGTTTTAATCTTTAATGAAAATCAATCGTCTTTCAGGTGATGAAGAAGGAAAATTAGCTCACTCGGATTCTTCTGTCAAAAATTTCGAAGTTTACTCTTCAGCCAGCAACTTTTGGAGATATTGGTACAGATGATAAAGAATGACGATTAACTACAGGTACAAGAGCACTAAGTACATAGTTTTAACAACCAACAGAAGAAAACTACCACAAATCCCTTTTTGTTTTATGGCATGAATTGCTGCTAATGAGGCTAATTTGATTTAGCCATTAGTATATACTGTCTTGAAAGACTAAGATGAACTATTTATATACTAAGTCGGTCGAGTTGTAATTGACAAACATATTATGACCTTTTGTGACCAAATTGAGTCTTATAATATGTACTTGCAAATAGTTATCGATACTTCTTGTTCGTAAAAGGACTTACTCATGCATAACCCATCGATTATGGTTTTTTTTGGGTAAAATGTAGATATATTTTAGCCGAGCCAAGTAGCTCATATGTTTGAGCTCGTGTTCGTTTAATACATTTAAAAATTTAAATGAGTTGTTCGCAGATATGAAATGTCCATTTGAAAACAAGTTTGACTCGGCTAGCTAGATCATTTAAACCCTATTAAAAAAAATAGATGTCGAGAACAAGGGCTCGATTTGCTGTTCAAGTTTGGTTCGTTTAAGTAAACGAACCTATTGAGCTTGAGCTTTCAAATTGAGTTTGTTTTCCTCACAAGGATCAAGCAATAACCAAAACTTGTTAGAACCAATCAACATTAAATCCATTGAGACAAACATATAAAGGTTTGCCCCAACAACTAATCAAAACCTCAAAATTTCCCACTAAAACACATGAAGAACCATATTCAAATTATCATTAGACCTAATTATAATCATGTATGAGTATATATTCTTACAAAAAATACTAAAAATTGAAATATATAAGTAAAAATAAAAACCGATAATATTTATTAATCGTAATCGTCGGGAAGTTTTCGCCCGTTGGTGAAAAACTTTACGCCTTCCTCTTCGTACAAATCCATCCTCCACAAGCTGATACTTCCGCCGTCCCCACGATCGGCGGCCGTGATTTCGAGCCACACTTCCAATCTCCAGCCCACCTGGCGGGTCCCGCCTTGCGTAACACTCTTGAACTCGAGATATTGATTGACAGGCGCGTAGTTTCTCGTGTACTCTGCTGCAGCAAATTTACCGTAATCGACAAACTTACGGTTCCTCGGCTTCAGAATCGGTTTCCATGGCTCGGGACCTGAGAGAA